ATAATCATCTCTTTCAATACTGTTTTCACCTTTAGGTTCATATTGAATAGTATTTTGATATTTTCTAGTTCCTTTTATCAATTAATCTTTGAGATTTTTTTAGGAGATACTGCATTTTTAATACTACTTTAATAAGAGTCTAAACTATTTGCCTTTTAAATTAACAGTTTGGATAAATCTCTTTTAATGCCTGTATGCTATTGTTTTAAAACAGTTTGCATAGCACGTATTTAATTATACCACTTGTCATTCAAAATACCTAAAACTTTATCAAACTCTATAATTGTTTGTTATTTGTAATTTGCACTTTGATCATTTGGAGTAGAACTTTTCTTTTTAATTATATCCAAATGAAGCAATACTATATTCAGCCTTGTAGATTTTCAATAGCAAGGCCACACTTAATATTTAATGATGTATAATTAATTCCGAAAGCTATAGCAATATGGTTATAAGAATTTTATTATACAGTATTATTTTTATAGTTTCTATAAAATATCACTAAATTTTTTAAATTCTTGAGGTGCTTTTTCTATTAATATTTTTCCTTCACTTACCTTGCATAAAAACATTGTCAATTTTTATTCAATATCAAAGAGTACTTTAATAATGATTTCGTAATTATCATTACGAAAAGATGTAATTGAGTTTCATCAAAACATACAACAATATTATAACTTAGTTTATTTACATCTTCTTTTGATATTATCTTCTATATGAACACTAAACTTCTTATCCTAAAAAGTACAATAATCATGAACTCTGGTAGTTTTACTGATATAGCATGAACGAAGTTTTTCATTTTTAGGTGGAGCTACTATTACAATTCTAGGTCTCGACCTAAAGGGCTCATCATCTCTATTATTCTACAACTTAATCTAAACCAGTTATATCTCTTAAATCTATCCTTTTTTGTTTGTAAATTGGAATTTTCATCAAAGTACTCACCATACTTTATCTTGCGATACATTAATTTCTTCAAAATTTTTTATTCATGATAAATTACCATAAGCTCTTAAAATATTATCTTATTTCCCAATAGACAAATTAAACACATTTATACTTCCATTT